CCAGAACCCTTTTTGGTCATATATTATAGAACACTGATTTTTAATACTACTATCTAAATTTCAAAAGAAAATTACCGCACTTACTACTATACACTACTAACTTACTAAATGCGATAGTTGAGTATGAGTATTGAAAAGTTGTGTTTGAAATAGTTGCGTGCAAACTAAGGAATTAACGACTAGGTAATTTACGAATATTAAACTTTAATAAGGTGGGGATTTAAAAAAAGAAAGAAATTCTAAAATACACTATACATACAAAAACTTATATATTAAAAAATACTATTCCAAATTAGGTATTTTTAATACCCTAAAGTAAGCACGTTCAAATTTACAATGTATGAAAATTCAAAACCAATCTAATGTCTGCAATTTCTTTTAATTAAATAGAAAATGATTGTGCACCTTTAAAAAATTATACAGTAAATATTCCAGAACAATGTTTATTAAATATTAACGTACCATAAAAGTAACACCATATAAATAAATATCGTAACATTGATTGCATGAAACGTCAGCCGAAATAAATATAGAAACATTATTGACAGTTGCTATATAACTACTGCGTAACGAATAAATTTGTTTCAACAAAACAACACATCAACCACTATAAACTATGGCTACGTCTGTAAGGGTGCTTCAGTAGGCAATATTTATGGTATTGCCTGAGGTATGCCCGGATTTTACTCATTAGGGGTATTATGAGACCGTTTGCGAAATGATAAATGAGTATAGCATAACATTATGAGGAGACCGAGTAAGATCCGACGGTGTTTTGTTAATGTATCAGTTAAACTTTATAAGGCTTACGGGTGAGACCGGTTCTTGTATGGCAATATTATTTTTATGTAGTATTATCAGGTACAAAATTTGCAAAACAAAACAATATAAGGGGTGTTCTCAAATTTATGTCCGGCAATTGATGTTTTTGATTCCATTATTATCTTAATAAAACATAGCTTCGGAAGAATGCTTGCAACGTAGTACCTACAGAATAACAAACTCTCCTTTTTCTAACAAATATTTACTTTTCTGTTTGATTTAAATTTGGTTCTATCGGCTATCACGGAACTCTTTCAAGAATATTTGAAATATTTAAATTTTCGCGCTCGGTTTCCGTAAATATTGTATGAAGTTGTTTTTGAAGCATTCAAATTCAAAGTATTGCCTTCAAATTCGATTAGTACACTTGATATTTTTCGAATAATAAAATTCGAATTATTTTCGTATCCTTGTTATTCAAACAATAGTATAATAAATGATTGATACATAAAAATTAAGAATTCGATTCATAACTTCAAACTAAATTAATGTACGAGGGTCAAACTGAAAGTTCTTAGAAAATCAAAAACTGATTACATTAGCCAGTTATTAGTTTTATTATATCTTTTCAAAATATTGTCCATTCACGTCAATACACCGCTGCATGCGATGGAACCACTGGGAAAAGCACTTTGCCCACTCGTCCTTAGGGGTCTCTTCAATGGCATCGCGATACGCAGCCACCGCTTCTTCAGCATTCATAAACCGCTTTCCTTTAAGTTTTTCTTTAATTTTTGGAAATAAATAAAAATCACAAGGCGCGAGGTTGGGGCTATACGGCGGCTGACCCAGTAATTCAACGTTTGATGTCGCCAAATAGTCGATCGTTCGCTTGACGGTGTGCGACGAGGCGTTGTCGTGGTGAAGGAGGATCCTACTGCGAGGTCGTTTCTCTCGAACTTTTTCCAAGACAAGTGGCAAACAATTGGTAGTGTACCATTCTGCAGAAACTGTTTTTTGATCCTCTAACACAATTGTTGCAAAATGACCTATCCTTCCAAAGAACGAGGTCACCATTTTTTTTCCCGCACTTCGATCTCTCTTCACTTTAGTTGGCAACTCCTCGAAAGGAAACACCCACTGAGCAGATTGTCTTTTGGTTTTAGGATCATAACAGTAAATCCAGCTTTCGTCACCTGTTAGTATGTCGAACACAGCATTTGAGTCACCTCCGTTAAATCTTTCAATCATTTTACGACACCAATCCACACGATGGAGTTTTTGAGCCTCAGTCAAATTATGAGGTATCCACCGGGCGCAAAGCTTCCTGACCGCTAAATGTTCGTGGAGGATTTTGTGCACTTGACTCATACCGATGCCTAAGCTTGTCCGAATCTGTTGATAGATCACTCTTTTGTCAGTCTCTATCATACGCCGCACAACACAGATGTTATCTTCAGTCGTCGCCGTAGAAGGCCGTCCCTCACGTAAATCATCAGTGAGATTAGTGCGACCACGTTTAAACTCATTAAACCAGTTGTAAACAGTCGCACGAGATGGGGCTTCATCGTGAAAGGCCAATCGTAGTCTATCATAACTTTCTTGTTGACTTAAATGACATCGAAAGTCATAAAAAATCATTGCATGAAAATTTTCTCGTGTTAAATTCATGATGACGTGACACAGACAATTTTCAATTTGCCGCCAAATCGTAAAACAAATGACAAATGAATGAAATATATACTCAGTAATATTGGCAAAGAGTTATATTTTCAAATTTTAGGATTATTTTTTTATTATATTGTTTATAAGTGGCCAGTTCTAAGAACTTTCAGTTTGACCCTCGTATATAGTAAAATTTACTTTGAGTTCTATTATTATACTTTAATACTTAACCTTTTAGAATAATAGAATTTTTCTAGCCTAAAGTAATTGAGACTATAGAATTACATAAATACCTTTTTATTTGAAAGAAATAACGAACGCCAAACTTTCGACTTAATCAATAGCTACTTTTGGATAATGGTTAAACTTTCATAACGTAAACAACTCCATTAATACAATACAATTTTAATCTCTCAGCTTAAATCGAAGATGTAATTTACAATTCACTTTCATTTCTAGATGAAATGTCATAAGTTCCCCTGAATGTTGTTCCGCAGGGGATCAGACGTTCTAAGGCTCTCGCTACATAATTTATCACCATTTGTCTTTGGCTAAAACAAACAACACGGTCACGAGTAAAGTCTGACTCTCAAGGAAGACAGATACTACGTTTGGGTATTTCAAGACTACGTATTTACCTTTATCATTGTACTGAATATTTTATAGGTATAAAAACATTGGACAATCAGCATCATTTCGTTAGTTAACACTATCACATGCTTTATTTATAGACGGAAAAAATATTTACTGGAACGAGAGTATAATTTTACGTCTTATTTTATAAAGAAAGATGACAAAAAACTCTCTATTTTGTGATTACCATTTATAACAGAGACATTTAAAATTCTTCTATTTCAGAATACTATTATTATCTACACAGAAACATACACATATCAACCAATATGTTAGTTACTTCTAACAAACTGTTCAATTTGATTAATAGTTTTCAAGTAAGTCTTAAATATTAATTGAAATATTATAATACTGCAAAATTATTAATTATTGCAATTGTTAAATAAATATTGTGAAAATATTAAAAAGCATTTATTTTTCCTTAATAGTGGTAATTATTTTTTGTCTTATTATAATTTGTAGTACTTATAAACATTAGTATATTAAGTATTTTCTAAACTATGGATCGAGACCCGCTAGAAGTTCGTGAACAAATGTGAGTGAGCCCTAACGATCGTTTTGTCACTATAAAAGACATGTACTTATGATTATTTTCCTCTAATACTGTAAATAGGTGAATCTCAAATTTGAAGTTTTTTTAGATGAGTCAAGCCCAATCAACTTTGAGCACCACTGTTGTAGACTATTTCTATACATTTTGGCTATACTAATAAGATTCACATTTTGCCAACAGACTTATCCCAACGAGCGTTCCTGCCGTCACGAGCGGCCAACCCCGGGGTTATTCACCTCCATCAAACTACCTGAAGCCGAGCCCCCAAACGGAGTGGCGCCCCTGCTGGACTTCCCGCGGGGGCGCATGCGACCAGTTACATTCTTGGGAGAGGGCCCCCATGGAAGTGTGAGTAGCATCCCACTAATTTTTTTTAAATCTGTACTAATAATATAAAGAGGATTGCGGACTCAGTGCGGATTGGTGTTAGGGTATTAACAACTGCAGATACAGCGCTGAGGAGTTCAAGATAATAAATTTTTGATCCTCGATCCTATGACCGGCCTTGGCGAAAGTTTCTTATGTTATGTCATCGAGATCCTCAAGATAAGATTTTTTGCATTGAATAGGCTCCAAAATTACTACACTAGACCAGGATCAAAAAAATTTGGCAGCTACATCATACGCGGGTGACAAAGTACAGCCTACTTTAGGCGTGCTAAGTCACAGGAAATCTAGTAGTTATTAATAAAGCTATATTTATGTAATCATACGACTAGACATTGTACTTTCGTTTTTCGCATGGTGTGTTTGAATTGAATGGAGTATTATTGGTACATCTTTAGGAATAAGAATACTGTCGCACAAATATTATTTTTATTACCATAAATAGAATCACATTTATATAATCGTACGTAGGTGTGACAATTTCCTCTCATGACAATGGTGGAAGGAATTCACAAGGGTTTCTATTATTGCATAGATACTTACATTACTATTATATGATATAGCATAATGTAAGAGAATTATGTTAAAGTAACATAAGTCTGCTTTACACAATTGTTCATTTTGATTTTGATCTTTATATGTGATCTAAATCTGTAATGTGTTAAGAAATAAATATGTGTTTCTTAACACATATAAAGATATAGACAACGATTTTTCAGAGTAGGTTTTTAAAATATAACACCTAACGTAAAATCGGCTGTTACTCACTGACTGTTATGTTACTGTTGCGTGTGACGTATTGTCGGTTTAGTGAAAATATGGTTATGTATGGAAATGCAATTAATTGCGTCACAGTTAGTGGCTGATAGTCAGTTTGGTTGTAAAACAGCCTTAAATTATTATGCAAATATTCTAAGGAAAGTTCGGTTGGATTCAAATTTCTACTCAAAAATTATTGTGAAATAATAATTGATCGTCAACTTTGATTTTAACATGGAGGTTTATCAAATAACATCCAGTCTCGTCATGTGCCTAATTAAGTTACACTATTCCTATTTAGTCGTACTTATCATGGTAATGGTTTTGTTTAATTTATAGTTTTAAATTGTTTGGCATTACCCAAAAATAATAATTAATACCAATATTGACTTTCTACTTTGAATAGAAGTATCAACTCTGGTTCTCTTTTTCTTAGAGAATTTGTTTTTCGACAAACAAATAAACTTTCCGCTCTGGCTTCAATATTTCTTAATTATTATCATAAACATTATAATGTATTTGAATTAGTTAAATATAAAATGAACTCTTGAGGAGTTATTCATATCCATTACCATGATAAGTCCATTAAATTATTAAATTCATTTAATTCCCTTTCGATTTATGAGCAATCGCCTAATAGCAAATTTAAATCTAAATAATCTAAATCGTTGGAGAGTAACTCCAGACTAATTTACATACTAAAATAAAAACATATTGATATAACCAATATATAATTTAAGTCGATCAAATAAATGTGAAAATGTTATTCAGAACTAATTAATTTTAATGGAAATCATCATTCAACCTAAAAACATTTTCTTCTCTGTTTAGAGCGCGCAGGTATTCATTTTCAGTGCTAGGTGTTTCCTCTTGAGTCGGTTTCTGAAGAGCAGTAATACCAGATTTAGCCGCTTCTATTATTTTCATGCCCGTGGTGCTTTCCTGTTTCGCCTTATTCATATCCTCTGATATCTCGTTCAACTTTGCTGCCAGTTCATCAACGTCCATTAGGGAGTTTGGATCTATTTTCTGCAGAGTTTTTCTTACATCTTCTTCTTTGATGGCATTCTCGTCGATAACTTTAGCTGAAACATCGAAATAAAGAAAATATATAATCATCTATATATAATATAGAACAAAATCGCATCCCGCTGTCTTTACGTTGAGATGTTCTGATCTACTCAAAGAAATTTTACTGTCGTTCTTATCAACAATATACAGAGTAATTCAAGAGTACTCAAGAGTAATCAAGAGAGTTTTAGCACAGCAAAAATTAAGTAACAGTTGGGAATTATTCGCATTTACAATATTTTGAATTACTCGAATATCTAATTCCAAAAAAGAGCGTGTAAATTAAAATCCGATGGTATATTTTGTTTGTTGTATTTGTAATATTTGCTTGATAGCTTAAAACAATAAAGCTAATTACAACTCATATTTTTATGAAAACCAATAAACTTGCCCGGCACGAACGGTTGCGTGACTAGAAGCATATTTCTAACTGCCACATAATTACTAATTAATAATTTATGTTGGGACTAAATTTCCTGAAACGAATCAATACGATAAAAAATTTAGAAACAATAATTATCTTACATTCTTTCATCATGTCGACAATGTTGTCAACGGAGAGCTTCTTTTTTATGTTTTTAATGAAACTTTCCATGTTTTTATAGTTTTCTTGGTAAATAAAAAGAATTAATTAATAAAACTAGAATTTTTATTTTCAATCAAATTATAAGCTGATTTGTTTATGAATTGTCAAAATGACGTTATTAGAGGTTTTTCTGTCAATTTTTCATAATATATTTCATAACAAAACTCTACTTTATACATATATATTCTTTTTGAAAAATATTAGATATTTTAAATTTAGTTTTCTTGGTACAAACTTTTGTTTCTAAAGTTAATTGAATAATATTAAAATATATACTTATCTTGCTAACCTAGCGTTGATAACCCAGGGCAGGTTAAATTATGAAATTCATAACAAAGCAGTTATATTTAATTTACCACATTTTGACAAATTGAAAGGATTACCTTACCCCACGTTTCTCTAGCTACTCCGTGCTTCGGAAGGCTCGTTAATCTGTTTGTCCCAGCTATTTTTGCAGTAGTTAATACTCTTCAATCCGTATTCGACCAGTGTGAAGTGTCATGGCCCAGCCTCTTTAACCATCTATAATTCCTTCCTTCCTTATGGAAATAAAAGAGCTAATGATGAGGAAATTAATAAAGTTGTTTAATTAGGTATCATACGCGAAAACAAAATTTAAAAACGCGAAAGAAAAATAATCTTAAGTTTCTTATTTTTCCGGATGGACCATGAGATTTATTTAATCGTTCGTAAAAAGTCTCTTGTTATAATTATTAATTAGACATATAATGAATAAAATAAATCGCTGAAAAACTTGCCTTTTCTTCAATAATTGTCTCCAAGACTTTGCTGAAATCATTGCAAACGAATGCCATGATCTAAAGCTTCGTAGATAGCTATAAATTATTGTGCCTAACAGAATCAATGTGTTTCCATTGATGACTAAAAGCTATAGATGACTAAAGCTAGGTAATCAAGTCTCCGATTTGAGTGCTTTCAACACTATACACTGCCAATTGTACGTGTTTCGATGTAGTTATATCGGCATTAATACCATCCGATAATAGATAGAGATCATCGTCGGTCAATTATAATGGACCTGATTGAAATTGAACCGAGATGCAAAGCACAGACTCGTCTCATTTGATTAATCTGTCATATCCACACTTATGAAACACTACTTCAATCATATCAACTACCGTTTGAATACCACTTTTTCACACTGCACTGACAGGTAATTTCACTCAAACATTTTTATTTTTGATCATTCTTTGTCAGTAGAACATAGTTTTAAATAGACGTGGTCAAGTATTCTTATGATTAGTAGTGAAAATAAATGAGGTCGAGTGCATATTATACTTTTCTGATCTGTTTGCATTCTTACATATCATTAAAAAAAACCTTTCATTCATAATTCAAACTTGCGTCTGTTTGCCTTATCGCCACCCTATTAATGGCTTCTCTGCTGCCGCATACCTTCTTCGTGATGTATGAAATCAAGCAGTGAGAAGCTATATCACGCAATCGTTAATTGGTGGGATAAAAACCAACTGCCTAAATTGCCTTCCAAAGGGCGGAGGAGCTCGGGATGATAAAAATTTGGCCATCCAATCTATGGCCTGATCTTGCGCTAATTACTTTCCAAATCACTCCGCATTAAGCTTCTCAAGAATCTGAATGCACTTGATTGCAAGAATGAATGAAGTGCATGCAAGATTAATGCAAGAAATCAATTGAACACTATTTTAAAAGCTTAAATGACCTTAACAACTATGCCAAATCCATTCAATAGACCACCCGTTCAAAGTGAAAACGATTTAAACAATAACAGAACGTTGAAATTCATGTCAATTTGACTCTATATTGAACAGACGTCACAAGCGTGCATTCACTTTTATTGCGAGATTTAATCCATTTTTAGTCTTTATTTAACTGAAGCGGCTTTATTAAATCAAAAACAGCTGTTCTTTTTGATCCTATATCCGTTATCCGATATTGAGTTGAATGTTTACATTTACTAATTTGTGTAATAAATGGCAATCAACAAAATATTGTGCATAAAATGTCATATATGCTATAAAGAAGCACAAATTAGTAATTATTTTTCACTCATTTTTGTTTTGAGTATATGTATTAAGATGGTTTTTAAAGTAAACAAGTTCCTAAAATGTCATTAGAACTATATAGATATAACTTTTATATCGCTTGTAAAGGTGTGTTATAAAGTTATTTTAAAGATATTATTATTGTAAAGACCACATTGCATGAACTTAATTGCTGACTTATAATTTATATTTTTTTACTCTCCGTTCTTGTGTCACGTTGGAATTTATATGGTAAAATAATAATATATGGTATGAAAATGTCATTGCTACTATCTAAAGCTGCTTTACCATACTGTAATAAAATTAACATTGTCAAGTACATGAGCACATAGAGATTGAATGAGATAAAACATTTATTACATTTTGAAGTTGATTGAACCTCTATGCTGTAATTCTCGACTGCTGCTGCTGATAATATTGTATAATAAATATTATATTCATCATCTTATCAGACAAAAGACTACGAACCACCAACTATACAAGTTGGTGGGGAAAAATGTTGACCGATTCAAAAGTGATTAAATAAATAAAATGTACCTATTTATTAACATTTTTTAAATGAAAAGCCACTCTTTATTTTATTTATTTTTTTGCAATAATAACAGCGTCATTATATTTCAATGTAGTAAAATGATAGGTAACTGTTTAAGTTATTTTATAATAATTTTCTTAACAAATCCTTTCATTTAATACTGCATTATTTTTGTGTGTATGCCACACAGAAAAGTTACTAGGACGCCATCTTGTTTTGACCGCCATATTAGATATAAAATTAAATAGCAAACCATGTATTGTCACCTTAACCGTACGTTAAATTTCAGGGTAATCGGCTGAGGATAACTGCATTAAAATTAATCAAGATTTATCATACATAAATAAATGTGGTTTGATAAATCTTGTTATGTTTAATAATATTTATATTATTTAACTATAATTTAGATGTTATGAAACATACCAAACAATATTATAAATTAAGATTATTCAAATAAAACTAGTGGCAACTCTAAAGCTAAGAATTTTATACATTTCAGCAAACATCTTTAAAATATAGAGATCCTTCGACAGTATATTATTATCACGTAAGATTTTCAAATAACTGTTCCGACATTTGTTACAGTTCGAATGTGATATCAACTAGAAAATTCGTTCATATTCCTCGTTCATTCAATAATATGCTCAACATGTGTTTTCCAAGTGATAGATATTCCTATTCCATTCGACATCGACTACGGGAGAATTAAAACCGTCTGAAGATTTCTTAAAAATATCTAGAAATCTTTAAAAGAAGTTATTATTATGGAATAAAATGCTGTCTTCAACTATTTTAAGTTTTCTATTCGCTAACTGTCCTCAAGCTCTTACAAAATCTTATCAAATACTGGCATGTGTTCGGAGTTATATTTCTTCTTTAAAGTTTAAGTTTACTTTGAAACCTTCCAAAGTATATATATTGAAACTGATATATTTCTAAGTTATACTCAACTCTTACTATATAATATAATGAAAGGACTTTGAGAATCATAGCAATTTTTATAAAATATGTATATAAATCATATATTTTATTATTGTCCTCATCGAGGTCTTTAATGTGATATCCTTAATGAAATAATTAATTTTCAATATCTCATACCCCCATATATCCGTTATTGAAAAATTACTAGAAGGAATAAATAAACTCAAATATATATTGATAGAAAAAATATTACCATATGACAAACTAATTTTCTAATATTTAAGTACTTATATTCGTTATATCACCAGAAATTAGAATAAATTGATATTATAGAAATATCATTAGAACTAAGATTATTTTGCACCTAGCAACGAGGGTGTTGACTAGATCGGAGAATTTGAGTGCAAGTAGTACAAGCTACACAAAGTTTACTTCGCACTTGAGCTTGTAAAATGTTGAGCACACTACGGTTTGCTTACCAAGTAAACAAGATGCATGTCCCCGCAAGAGATTCAGTTTAGTTATCTTTTTGAATATAAAATTAATAAGGTTAAGGTCGTTTATTGATAATTTAATTTTATCAGATAAAAATGAAGCCTTTTTTTAATAAATTCTATGGCCATTTCAATCAGGATACTGAATTAAGTTGTATGTCTGTCTCTTCGTCTGTCTGTTTATTACTCTCTGTGTTACTACTAGATCAATTTATTTAAACTTTGGTACACCTATGTAAATGTGTGACCTATAAAAACTGAAACTGTATTCAGCTGCAATTGAATTGTTATAAAAAAATAAAGCTTTGACGTGATTATGAGTTCCAAAGGAGACAAATTATCTATTTTAAAAACATAGATATTGCAAGGTATAAAAGTTTTTATTTATATTGTGAGTGATACAAAACCCGGCCCTCAGAATAGAGTATTTTTTCGATATAAAAACCATATTTCATTCATTACTAACGATACAATAATTATTGTGTATGTTTTTATCAAAAGATTATGCTTTCATACTTCTTTATGATCATTATGTTTGAACAATTTCGCATTCACAATGCTATACGGAAAAATATTATTAATGTAAATTCTTGAAAATCCACTTGGTCCCTGGCACCCTGAGATGGGATATGAACCAATGACCTATTGCAATCCGGGCGGCTGTTCTAACCACTAACACCACCCAGAACCTAACAGGACTGACGAATCTTTCAAGCACTTGTTACTTTTCGCTACTACAGATTGTATTCTCATCAATGTTCAACAATCCACCCAACCAGCCGAAAAAACTATTAAAACTTTCGATAAAGATGAAAATTATAATATTTGATCAATCCCGCAATCACAATGCTATACTGAAAATATTCTTAATGAAGAATGCTTAAAATCCACTTGGTCCCTGGCATCCTGTGATGGATTTTTAATAAGGAATGTTCTTTGTGATTGTTGGAATTTTAGTAAACAATTCAAGAATATAATAACAAAAGTGGCACTGTGCAGTTACGCAGTATTATAAATCGTCAAAACGCTTTAATTTCTTGTTTTACAGTAAAATTGCGACTTAAAATGAACTAAACCAATTCTGACATAACCAAAATAAAACACTTTTCTAAAAATAAAATTTACCTTATTTCATTTGAATAATTAAAAAATATTTTACAACCCTCTATCCACCCAAATCACAGTAGTTTTGTAATATAAAAAATAATAAATAATTGTTGATTTTAATGTTTTGTTTAAAACAACACATTTAATTCCAAAGTGTCAAAGCTGCTAAAGTTGAGGACGCTAGACGTCGCTGAAGTCATGCACATGGCGAGTAACAATATAATACACATTCACATTTACAAATTTGTTTTTAAAAATTATATCACGAATTTCGGTTACAATATAAATCATATGTACACGGTACCACTACTCTCGATGCCTCCGGCCACTTGTATCGGCCTTAAACAAACACCGACGCGTGCTCTGTTGTATTTTCATTAGGGCCGATCAAACACAGAATTACTGGCCCGGAGCCACCTGTATTACACATTATATATATATTTTTGCTCATTGTTTATTTTAACATACAATAAAGGGGAAAATTCGTAATCGGTGCACTAATTTTTATGATCGTGTCATATTAAAATTTTCACGGTTTATCTGTCTCTTTTTAATCTATTTATACACAGAAATTGTAGAATAGTTATATAAAACACGTTGCTACTTATAATTATTCCAACTGCCCCGGGGGTCAATGACTGATTTTTGTCGATATACCTACAATTTGTTTGCTACTATCAATTAATTATTTAATAGTTATGAAAATTTAAATTGTATTTTATTTATTAATGGACAGTCGGTATCGCCGAAGTCAATAATATTATCAAAATATTCAGTATGATTTTTTTTAATATCAAGATGGTTTTCTCCGCGTAATCAATAAGACGTTTTATAATTATAATATTAACTCTTAAATTTGGTGATTAGATCCCCGTCCGCACGTGGATTTTTAAAAATCTTCCTGAACCAGAATATTGATGAGTATTTCGGCATAATCGGAAACACTTCATCATCATTATCAGTATATTAACGTGACTGGTGAGCACACGCTTTCTCTTTGGATAGAATCAAAGAGGCAGAACATACAGACCTAACAGCTTAACGTGCATCTCGAAACACCGAGGAAATAGTAAATTTTTGGTCACCCACCCTATGACAGGCCCTTGCGATAGTTCTGATCTGAAATCATTTAAATTATTTCATCCAGAATACTACTAATAAATATTTAAAGTATTAGTCACTGAAGCTACAAAATTCTCAGTACACATTACACGAGCCCTCATAAAACCAACTTATTACTAAGTAAGACGCGTACTCCCCTAAAGCCCCTAAAGCCCTATCATTTCACCCCAATGTCAAAATTGAAGTTAGACCAGTGAGGTCGTCGTC